TCCCTGGGGCCAGCAAGTGGTGTTAGTGGTTAAGTTGCTGGATTCCCATATGACCAAGGCTCAAGTCCCGGACTCAGCTGCTGGAAACTCACGCCAGGTTCATATGTGTGCGTGCCTAAAGTCCCAAGAGGAGAATAGAAAAGAAGGGACTGTGGTATGGCCATCACCCCGGGAGGCGATTTCTCACTTTCTCTCTGTCTCTGTCTCTCCAGCAAGCCCATGTACCCCATAGCAAACAAATTCTCTAAAAAAACAAACTAAAAAAATGAAGTCCCTGGGGCAGAAGGGCCCAGAGTCGAACTGGGGGGTTCTCATGTGGTCCCACGTGGTGGTTCATGGCAAGACAGCAGAGATGGCTGTCCTGGGGAGGTGGGGCCAGGGTCCCCAGCTTGGACACAGAGACTACAAAGACCAGCAGGGAAGGAGTGAATTCACCAGCAAGCAGGAGTAAAGAGCGGCCTGGTGGGTGATGGCAGAAAGGCCCGGGGAAAGAGGGCCCAGAGCCACGGTCACACTCGTCAGAGACGCAGACGACATCGGGCTGGGGGCAAAGAGCTGGAAGGGAAATGGCAGGAAGTAAAGCGCGTTCAGAGGACCCGTGAGGGAACGAGGAATCACAGTGCCCCAGCCGCTACTGCACGGGCTTTCATGAGACGCAGAGCAGACACGTGGGCGTTTACTAGACGTGAGTGTCGAGCTGCAGCCGGGCACACTGGCGGGAAATCAAAGTGATTGCTGGGAGTTATTTTAAAGATCAAAATGGGATGGGCCAACAGGTGGCATGGAGGTTAAAGTGGCTGTATCCCACCCGGCCAACTACGAGGTTTGAGTCCCAGTCCCGGCAACTTGAAAAAAGTACATCGGGAGTGTATGTGTACGTGCCTAAAATCTGAGAGGAGAACAGAGGGGGGACTGTGACATGGTCATCCTCCCAGGGGCTGCTTTCTCTGTCTCTGTCTCTCTTTCTCTCTCTCTACAGGGAGTGCACACACCCGTGGCCCAATAAATAAATAGAACTGAGAAGCCAGGAAGCACACTCCACCCACGTCTGTCTGAGCACACTCGCCCTCCCCGACTTCCTTCTGTTCACTGGCTTTCTCAGCACCAGGCAGTTCCCATGGGCAGTGCGAGAGGCGAGTCCAGGGGAGGTCGAGTCTGGGATGCGGGAGGGAAGCTGTGGAAGAGACCTTCCATCTGTCCACGGGAGTGGTCAAGGACAAGGTCGGGACCCAGCAGCCAGCGTCCTCTTCAGGCCACCTGACCTGCTGCTGTCCAGGACACCCTCGCAGTCCTGGCACAGGAGTGTCCCAGGCAGAGTCACCGCCGGGGGGGCCACTCTCTTCCCCACTCCGCTCGCACCCACCTGGCCTTCAAGTGGGCCAAAAGCAGGCTGACAGGTGGAAGCGGCGCAGGTGACCAGGATTGGAAACTGACAACCACAGCCCCCAGTCCAGCCTCTCACCACCAGGCAAGTCTCCATCCAGGATCACCTCCCCGACCGCTCCACTCGGTGGTGGCGTCCACCCCGCACCCTTCCCCACAATGGAATGCCTGCTCCTGCGATGCTCCTGCTGTGCTTAGCACAGAATAGAGATGTCCTTGCTGGATGGCAAGGGGCTGGGGCCACGACAGGCCTGCTAGAGCAGCTCTGAAGCCAGCCTGCACCCACGCCCTGCCACGGGGAGCACAGGCCTGGCTGTGGTGGCCTGTGAGAGCCACTCCGCCAGAATGAAAATGAGCCCAGAACAGCCTCGGTCATTCCCAAGAACGTTTCCTCTCCTGTACACATCAGCACAACGGAGCCGAAACGGTTCTTCCCTGAGGAAGACCGAGGGTTCAAATGGAACTGTCAGTAGGGGCTGGATGGTAAAACATGACGCTCTGTGAGGCAACCCACACAGGAAGGTTCCTGGTTCAAGTCCAGAGACCGCCCCGAGTACTCCCGGCATGCATCCCGGGACTGGCTGAGGGCTTCCACCTTCCAGGCTTCTGAAACACAAGATATGAACAAGCTTTAACAAGGAATGGCTGTGAGGACTGGTGACCCTTCCCCAGGAATGGGACCCTGGCAGAGAGCGCTCAGAGCTGCATAGGGAAGACGTATTCTGGCCCCCCTCCTCGGCCCCTTCCTCCAGGCTGAGTTCACCCCAGAGCGAACGAAGCTCCCTTCGAAGGCCCTGCAGTGCCACCATCAGGACGCCTGAGGAACTGCGCCCTGTTTACTGGCAGGACCAGCATTCCCAAGGCTGGGAAAAGCAATGCCTGCCACCTCCAGTCCCTGTAAACTTTGAGAAGGACCCTGAGGCACAGCATCAGGAAGGCTTAAGAGACAATGACCCTCCTGACTACACACCTGCCCCTGAGGGCAAGCCCAAGGCCCTGGCCTTGGTTCCCGCTTTGTTTATGGCCTGTGTCCTTGCAAGGTCACCTGCTCCCTCCAGCACACCATCTCCAGGTGTGAGATCATCAGGCTCTCTTAGAGGCCCGCAGGGAATCTGACACAGAAGCAAAAACTGCCGCATTAAGCAGAAGGATGCCTTGTTCCCTGTGGGCGATCAGAGCTCAGAAGGCTCCTGTCCAGGCATGCTGACTAGACAGAGGGAGGGCAGGATAAAACGGCGCGGCAAGGTGTCTCCCAGCCCAGGCCAGGGAGGCACCGCGTCAGATGTGGGGCACGGGACCTGGGCTACTTCTCTTAGAGACCCCAAATCCACCTATCATCTGCCCAATCACACATGCTTGAAAAAGCAGTGTTAAGGGGGGGAAATAGTTTAAGAGTTTTTCAAATAATTTAAAAAGTTAAGACCAGTTGACGACGTAATGATGACATAGATGGACTCCCACGTAGCTGACTGTGGTCTGAGTCTCAGACCAGACAGCTTGAAACTTAACGCTGGGTGTGTGTGTGTGTGTGTGTGTGCGCGTGCGCGCGCCAAAAATCCCGAGAGGAGACTGGAGGATAAGAGATTGCGGGAGGCCATCCCCCCAGGGAGCAATTTTCTGCTTTTTCTCTGTCCCTCCAATGTGTGTACGCACCTTGTAACAAAAAACCTCTCTCAAAAAAATTTTTTTAAAGTCTACATTTTGACTGACTCAAAAAGGGTTATCAAGAAAATTCCAACACGAATCCCACAAAGATCATGAACATGAAAACAGCATGTATCCCAACTGCAAACAGGCTAATTATTACCTAAGAAAGATAATCACACAAACATAATTCACATAAGATGATAAATATAAAAATTGTACAACCTCTTAGTAATTAAAGAAATGCAAGACGAAATGATCTCTATCAAAAGAGCATAAAACAAACAAATATCAGTAACATTAAAGTTGATTCCCTAGGGGTAAAATAAATCAATACACTTCCTAGAGAGACATTGGGCAATGTTTACATAAATCCTTTAAAACTGATGTGGATTCTTGACAAGCAACACATCTCAAGGGAGTTCATCTCCTGAAGATAACTAGCTGCAAGCACCATCTAGGAAAGGGGATTTGCGAAGGCCCTAACGAGTGGACGGGACGGGTACTAAGTACAACCACTGTCTACTCCACAGACCACTACGCAGCCACTAAAAACGCCGACGTCTTTATTGACCCACAGATGTCATGATATGCACAGGAAAAGCTAGGTGACGGTGGCGTAAAATGCATTTCTGACCCAATTTAGCGACTATTTATTTATACTCACAGCTCTGTACCCCACGAGCACAGCATCGGGTCCAACACCAGGGCTGCCGCGGCGGCGAGAGACTGCCTGGGTGCCTGCTCCTGCCAGCCCTGCACTGCAGCACTCTATTCCATGCATAGAAAGCCAGACCCCACGCGGCCGACCATGGTCAAATTCCAACCGTGGCAGCCAGGCACATGCGTCTGCACGCCCCAAATCTGGCTGGGATGAAGAAATAGAGGGGAAAAAACCGCGGCGTGACCACGCACCCCTGAAAAGTGCCTTCTCTCTCTCTCCGGTGATTATACGTATCCATTCATAATAAAAATTGTTAAAAAAATGTTTTTGAGGTTGCTACAATGAAAATACTGGGTCATTGAAAAAGTATGACACATTTTTGCATAGAAAAACAACAGAGAAATATGTCAGAACTTTTCCGGAAACCTATCAAATTGCTTGAATAAGAAAATACAATTAGGAACAGAAAAAAAGTTCCAAAATGAATGTCAGAGAGCTCAAACAAAGAGTAGGCAGGAGCCCTGGCACCTTTGCTAAAAGAGCATCCACCTGCCTGACAGGTACCTGCTACCCGTCCAGACCAGGAACCTCTGGTGACACAGAGCTGTGAAGCTCTGACTTCCCCAGCCGGATCACAAGGCGTGCGAGGAGGGAAGGCAGAAAAAGAACATTTCCCCAGGTGACTTGGAGAATGTAAAAGGCAGATATTTCGATGGGGTTTAATTACAATTCACATTCCTGAAGTGAAATAGCAAGTTCTCCAGAGTTCCTACTGAGGAGAGGGGACCCCCAACTCCGAGAACCAGATACGAAATGGTCACAAAAGGTCAGGGCTTTTCCTATTCAATCAATCTCACTCCAGGATCTGATTTTAGAACACCATTGCAACATTACTATGGAGGAAAAAAATATATATATACACACACACACACACACACACACACAAATATATTTATATAATATATATATTAGAAAATTTATAGATTCTAAAACACATATATTTATAATATACAAATATATTTATATTCTTTTTTCTCAACATATTTTGTTATAGGGCACATGTGCTTGCCTGAGACAGAGAGAGGCAGAGAGACATAAAGCAAGAAATCACCCCCCAGGGGCAATCCCTTCTCCTCCATTCTTAGCTTGGGATTTGGGGCATGCATGCACACACATCCAGCATGAGTTTCAAGCTACCTCGTCCAGAACTTGAACCATGGTCAGCCACATGGGAGTCCAGCTGCCTTAATCACCATACCACCTACAGGCCCCCCAAGAAAAGATATATTAAAAAATAGTAAGAAAAACATGATAAAAAATACATCAAAATATATTATATCAACCCTGAAGGATTTCCCACGTAAACGGACATTGAGAATATCCGAAGTCTCTTTCCTGGACTCCTCCCAACCACGCAGCTGAGGCCTGCCCAGCGGCCTGGACGATTCTCCCCTGCTCGGTTCAGACGGTGTATCTCTTCTCCCCTTCGTGCTTAGCCTTGTGGTACTTGAGATAATCGTTGTGCAGGTCCTTAAACACGTCCCGCGCTCCCGGCTGCAGTGAGGCCCGCAGGAACTGGACGTCCGGCTTGGTGCAGAGGTCCAGGATGAGGTAAATGCCTTCCTGTAGCAGGCTTTTCACGGCAGGGTACAGGGTCACCTGGGAGGGGCAGGCCTGGGTAAGAGCACACCACAGAGACAAGCAGCACACCCCACTGGCACTTCCTCACACCTGACCTCCACATGCAAGGTGACAAAAGATGGACGTTCGCTTTTAAAATAGAATTTTGCACCTAACTCAATACTCCTTAAAATTGTATTTTGGGGAAACCGCGACTAACTCACGTAAACAGAAAAATGGGGTAAAAGCCCACAGACAGGCACGGACAGCTCTGCTATCCAGTAAATCACGTCCACTCACCGGACACTCAGAAGGCGGCAGTCTTAACACTCCAGAACCTTAGAACCGCGTGGCATTCAGTTCTTCCACACCACCCGTCCATCACCCTGGGGGATACGCTATCCGTGGGACAATGGCGGCCATCGACTGTGACCCGATCTCACCCCAGAGCAAGGCAACTGGAGGAAGGCCCCAACCATAACAGCCCGTCGACGGCCTCTGCAGTCACCAGATCCACTCCAGGACCCGACAGCAGAAGTGACTGGTGGCTGCCATTTAGACACTTGACTTGTTTCTGCAACAACACACACTACGCTCGACACTCTCACCTGCCCCGATCGGTCCTCCTGCCTAAGGATGCATCTTTCCCTCGAGCGCTGGGCTAACCGAGCCTGGGGCCCCGCGGCCAGGAGCAGCCAGCTCTGCCCAGCCACCACTCATCTCGCCATGTCTGAGCGGACGCTCAGACATCTTACCGAAAAGGCCGAGGGGCAGGTGCCATTGGCCCTCCTGTCTGTTCGGGTTTCAGCCACGCCTGGGCTGACCAGAGCTGAACACGCCAGCATGGGCCATCACATGTTGGGGAGTTCTGGGGACGGGGTGGTGACAGCACACATCACGAGTGTACTTCGCACCGCTGCACCGTACCCCCTGATGTGGTGGAAGCAGCAGCCAGCAGGTGGCAAAGTGGTTCAGGAGCTGGACTCCCACATGGCTGACCGTGGTACAAGTTGTAGACTTGGCAGCCTGAAATTCACACCAGGTGTGTGCTTGTGTGCGTGCCCAAAATCCCAAGAGAACAGAGGAGGGACTGCAACATGGCCATCCCCCCGGGGGACTGATTTCTCACTTTCTTTCACACTTTCTTTCTCTCTGTCTCTCTAGTGAGAGCACACACCATATAGTAAAAACATTAAAAAAAATAATAAAAAGGAAAAAAAACAGAAAAAGAAAATGGTGGAAATAGTAAAAAATATAAACTTTGCGTTACATGTACTTTGCAACACTGAATAAAAGGGAAAACCAAAGTGGTCCTAAAGTACCAGCTGACTGGCCTGGGATCTGACTGATCATAACGACCAGATGAAATGAAATACCGTGATAATGCCCCCTGCAAACGTAGTGAAGAATATCTTAGTAACTGGGGGAGCTTGGATTCACAGAGGCGAGCACTGGGATGTCCATTCCTAAAGAGGAAATGTGTTCGTGTCACGAAGATGATGCCATTCTTCAAAGTTAAGGGCCTTTTGACGTGACAGTTCAAACACTTTTGACGGGTGACCATCTTAAACTTGACCACTGTATAGATGATGGGGTCACTGAAGGACCAAAGGTGGGACGAACAGCGTTCTCATGATTTCAAGGAGAGCAACGGAGAGGGAAGAAAAAGCAGCACGAAATGAACAAAGCACAGACGGAATCCTCGATCCTAAGCGTGGGCTTTGTAGGTGCACGCACTGCTCGGCCATTTCACCAGCGCTTATAACCACATAATTCCACTTCCAGGGGCACAAAAGAGGGCTGGCTATGGAGGCACAGAGGGGAGCTGGACCCCACGTGGTGACTGTGGTTCAAATCCCTGGCCTCCTCAGTCGAAGGCACGCTGGGCACCGGCGTGAGTGCCCGGATCTGACGGGCAGAGGACTGGAGGAAGGGGACTGTTCTGACCAACCCACTATGGGTGCTGCACCTGTCTGCCCCTGTCTACCACGAATTTAAATAAGAAAAAATATCCAAAGAGCAAAAAAGAGGCCCAGTGCCTTCCCCGAGGCCCCACAGCAGGCAAGGGCAATGCTGAGGCTGGCATCTATGTGCTCTGAATCCAGGGTCCAGGGACAAGAGCTGACCCTGAAACAGCACAGAGGGCGGCGGGGGTAAGGAGCACCAATCCCCCAGGCAGTGGAGCTCCACGTGTAACTTCTGCCCCCCTCACAGCCAACTGACCAAGCCTAGTACTGAGCGGCAGCCTTGCTGGTAAGTCGACTACGCGTATTTTGCAAGTTATACGTACTGTATACTGCATTCTTTACATAAAGTAACAGAGAAAAGAAAATCACAAGGGAAATATACTTATATGTATCTTGTAACATATTTAAGAAAAAAGCAAAACCCCACATGTGGCTGGATGGTGCAGTTCAGAGCCCAGCTGTGCTTCACCTGGCATCTGGGTAGCCCACACGCAGCCCCCAGCAGAGCGCTCCCGGAAAGGAAGACAGGCAGTGGCACCAGGACAGCAGCAGGACAGCACCCCTGACCTGTCGCTCCAGGCACCTGTCTGTAACTCAGGAACACGTCCACCCGTCCAGCACTGAGGTCCCTGGTCCCTGGCTAACGAGTGGGAACATTGGGGCCGCAGGCAGGACGACCCTGTCGTCCCCACACTCGGCTGCCTGCATCAAGGGGCAGCTACAGCTGCCTAGAGCTGTAAGCACTGTACCCTCACATTTCCTCGGGGACCCGTGAGCAGAGAGCAGGCCAACAGGGCCGGGCTTCACCTGGCTGACGCCGGCTCACCAGGCCGCCTGCCTGCCTGTCAGTGGGTCCTGCCACCCACAGCCCACTATGCAGAAACACAGGAGCAGTGTGAAGAGGCCTGTCCAGCGGTGCTCGCTGTCAGCGTTCACTTAAACATAAACACACTGGTCTAGAAAGATGTATGGCAATATAAGTAGAAGGCTCAGATGCATATGGAATATTCTTTTTTTTTTTTTTTTGGAGAGGTTTTTCACTATAGGGCGCGTGCGCTCGCCAGACAGACAGAGACAGACATAGAGACAGAAAGCGAGAAATCACCCCCCAGGGGGGATGGTCACGCCACAATCCCTTCTCCTCCATTCTCCTCTCGGGATCTTGGGCATGCACGCACACGCGCCCGGCGTGAGTTTTAAGCCACCGGGTCCAGGACGTGAACCGCGGTCGACTACGTGGGAGTCCAGCGACATAGCCATTACGCTAACTGCTGGTTCCCTGGAATACTTTCTTCATTACCGAATTAAAAACAAATGAAAGATAAAACACAGACTGGGCTGCCAATGGCTTCTGGGACGTCGCAGCCTGAGAAAATCCCCAAGGCCTTTCGCTTTCAAGATTAGAAATAAAAATGTAACTGGTATGCATAAATTAGACATGAATAATGAGGCCAGGAAACCAGAGATTTTTCATAAAGTAAATTTCAGAATAATAATCAGTGACTTAGGGCTCAGGTTAATGCTGACTTTCTTAGCTCTTAGTGATGTGGTATCACTAGGTCTCATTTTATTCTTTAGTAAGAAAATAATGACAGCTTTTCTTTCATCAAAAGTCTACATAGTAATGACTCAAGTGCTTGGGAAATACCAAGATCCTATAAAAATGTTAAATAATTGCAAAAAAGAAAAAAAAAAAACCAAGCTGCAGCCCACACTTTATTCAAAGGATGAGCTGAGGTCTCCTATGCTCCACGAGACGTGACCGGCTGGCCCCCCCCGCTGCCCAGCCAACTCAACTGGCCACCCCGTCACCGCGGGGAGCAGGGCTGGGGGTTAAAAACCGTCTATAATTACAGCTCTCCCTGAAGCAGAGGTGGGGACAACAGCTGATGCAGCTCCTGAGGAAGTCCACCCGCCCTGGGAAATGCTGACATCCCCACCCAAACTAGTCCACGGTGACTTTCCTACTGTTCCCACAGGATGGACAAGGGGGGGTGGCGCTTTGCAGTGAGGCGGACAACAGGTGTCTGCCTTTACACACACAGAGGCAAACCCGACACGCTGCACCTGGCTCTGGCCCACAGCATTCGATTTAATGAGCAAAGTTAGATTTGGAAGCCTCGATTCACAAGGTCTTGCAGTGAACCTGCTGCGTGTCCCACGGGTCACAGCACAAAGCGGACACTGCTGGAGCAGGGACTAACCAGTCAGACACGCAGTCAGTCCGATTACTCCGACAACGCGGTCTCTTCCCCACCTGTGCCGCTGCCTGCCTCTGCACCGTCATCTGCTTGAGAACAGCAGGCCCAAGAGCACAGTCCCACCTGTCGTGGCTGAGGGCCCCCGAGCCCTTGAGGTCCGAACCTCCCTGCTGGTCTCTGGTTAGCCTGGGCCTGGGAGAGCGCCTCTCCTTGGATCAGGGTAACATTTCATCTCCCTGCTCGGGACTAACTGAAACAGACCCTAAGTCTGCACTGGAGTGAGAGGGGACAGGCAGACGGAGCCCCTCCCGCGTGCCGGGCGTGGCTGAGCCCTGCGTGTCACCCACCAGTCCTTAGCCCTGCAGGAGGCTGCGAACACCTCCAAGTGCACAGGACGGCCTGCTGCTCACTGTTCTGGCTGGGGCGCCCCACCTGAGAACCCTCAATAACAGCAGGGGGTGAGCGACGCTCCGCACGTTACCTTCTGCACCTCCGTCACGTACTGGGCCACCATGAAAGGGGAGAACACGGTGAAGTCCTCCGCCCGGGCGGCGACGTGGCTGTACATCCGCTCCACCAGGCGTGCGCACTCCACGATGACGGGCAGGTCATCCGCGCTGCCTACGGGGTCAAGCCCCAGCCAGTTAGTGCGATAGTGCACATCTTCAAGTTAGCCGACAATGACCTCAAGCCGTTCATTCTTTCCAGATCCTTCATTTTTAATTGCTAGAGGGTGTGTTCACGCATCAGAGAGATGAGAGAGAGAGACAGAAAGACAGAGGGGGGAAGCACTCCCGATGGGGTGTGGTCACGCTGTAAACCCTTCTCCTCTCCCCATCCTGCAGAGATTAGGGGTATGCACACACATGCACTTGGCTTAGTTTCCAAGCCCCTGGGACCAGGATTCTCACGGTGGTCAAACTCGTGGGATCTGGCTCCCAAGCTACTGGCAGTGAGGCCAGCCCCTCTTCCAGACTCTTCAATTGGCTTATTTTTTCAGAAAAAATATAAAGGAAAAAGATATGCCTAAATATTTACCTACATAACAAAGGACCCTTAAAAAATATTCCAAAAAGACTCAAAAGGGTCTAACTAGAGTTATCAAGATTTTGTATGATGAAGTGTAGGATTAGCCATTTTTTTTTTTAAAAGAGATTTTTTTCCTTACAGGGCGCATGCACTTGCTGGAGAGACAAAGAGAGACAGAAAGCAAGCAATCACCCCGGCGGAGATGGTCACACCACAACCTTCTCCGTTCTCCTCTTGGGATACTAGGCACACACGCATATGTGCTCAGCATGAATTTTAAGCTGCCGGGTTCAGGACTCAAACCATAGTCGACTCTAAGGGAGTCCAGCGATGTAACCTTTATGCCACCTGCTGGTCCCACTATTACATTTTGAAAAATTAGAAGCCTTTCCATAAGAAGGTCTTAAAATGGGGGGAAATGGAAAATTAAAGAAAAAAATGGCTTATTGACACAGATTTGAAAGAAACATTAATTACATGTTTGCCTCCTTGAACTTGAGAAACTGCCTTCACAGGTGGACAGCGGCAGACCCAGATACTCGCCCGGCGTCCCTGACTCCTGTCCAGTCCCTAGTCAGGTAGCAGGACCATGAGGGGCCTCGAAGAGAACTCCTTCCAACCAAGACCCTTACAGCCCTGTGTCCCCCAGGCTGGGCAGGGGTCATAGGAAGCCCAGCAGGCCGAGGCACCACCCCACTTTTACTCAATGTAACAGCAGAGCTGTGTTTATGAGACTCTACAATAGAAATGCCAGCAAATCCACAGTGAGAGAGCACACCAGGGACTAAGGCCAGAGCGGGAAATGGCCTGCAAAGAGGTGTGTATGTGGCGGGGGACAGCAGATGGCATAGTGGCTAATGCAGCTGGACTCCCACATGACTGATGGCGGTTCAAGTCCTAAATTTGGTGGTTTGAAAATCACATAGCACACGTGTGTGTGGTCAAAATCCCAGGAGAATGGAGGAAAAGGGATTGCTGTGTGGCCATCCCTCTGGGGTTGGGGGGGGTTGATTTCCCACTTTCCCTTTCACTGTCTCTGGTGAGTTCACATGTCCTAAGCCAAATATCCTAAAAAAAAAAAAAGGGCAAGCGACTCCTTGGGATGATGGGGATGGTCGATATTCTGATTCTAGTGGTGGCGTTGGACGTGCACTTAAGTCTTCACGCTCACCAAGCTGAACATCTTGAGCAGGTGCAGTGGGTGAGACACACATCACAGCTCACAGGTGACTTTCAGAACGCAGTCCCTTTCCTGAAGACTGAATGAGCACAGAGACGTCTTCTATGTGTGCAACTTTCCTAAGTCAGTGAAACTACGTGAGCCGTGAGCAGCCAGCAGCCAGCAGGCAGTACGAGACACTCTAACGTCTGAGCTGCGCCGTTCCTTCTCGGACCACTCACACACGCTCTCTGCACGGTGGATATCTGGCACATGCTGCATCAGATACTGATGTAACTTAGCCATTAAAAAGAGCATGTTAGATACCAGTAAAAAGATAATAAAACAAAGTAGATCAAATTTCAAATTTCCGTGCTAGCCAGGTAAGCCATGAGCACATCGAGAACTGAGTCTGGGCGGATCAGCGATAGCTAAGCTACACCAACATGGCATGGCACGGCACGGCACAGAGCCGCAGACCAGCGAGGGCGCCCACATCTGCGGAACATGTGACAGGGCCACCAGCGGCAGTGTGTGGCCAGGCTGTACTCTGCCACCATTAGCAAGACCCAGGCTTGCAGATAGCACTATTGGAACAGGGATTCTTCCTGAGAGTTCGGACTTCATCTGAGAGGCCCCAACACAGAAGTGCAGGAGCCACCACTACCCACCGTGCTAGAGGCTCACGGCGCTGGGCTGGGTGTGCCAAACCAGGCATGAGCGACAGTGAAACACAAGAGGGTGCCGCTGGGACCAGCAGTTAGCGTAATGGCTATGTTGCTGGACTCCCACGTAGTCGACCGCGGTTCGAGTCCCGGACCCAGTGGCTTAAACTCACGCCAGGCGCGTATGCGTGCGTGCCCAAGATCCCAAGAGGAGAATGGAGGAGAAAGGATTGCGGTGTGGCCATCCCCTCTGGGGGGTGATTTCTCGCTTTCTAGCTCTCTGTCTCTGTCTGTCTGGTGAGCGCACACGCCCTATAGCAAAAACCTCTAAAAAAAAAAAGAGGGTGCCGCTCACAGACTCCCAAGACAGGCAGAGTTCCTGAGAGCGGCAGTCCAGCGCCAACCGCATCTTTTCTCCAACGGTTTGCTGATTACTTGGTAAAGGGTTACTGCTTAAAGCTGTAAGTCGGCATTCACAGGTGGTCAGTCCAGAAGTACTGTCACGGGGTCTTTCCAGACACCCTCCACGGTGAGTTCTAAACCCCCCTTTGTGGGCCCAGAACAGCCCATCACATGCCCTGTCCTCAGGCTTAGCGCATTGCGTAGTATGGGCTGATACATGCAATGTGATACAGTTTGAAAATTGAGCCACAGAAAATAGGAGTCTGTAATGCATGATTTCTTTTTAAATAATGAGACTCTCCTTATTTAAACTAGAATTCAGCAAGAGTCAACAAAGCTCAAAGCTGGTGAGTGAGTTACACACGTATTCTATGCCAGGGCCACAAGGCAGGTTGAGTTTCGCTGGTAGCAAGCGTCACCCTGCCAAGACTGGGCTGCGGGCCGGCTCCATGGCACAGTGGTGATGCCCTGCACGGGAGAGGCTGCACTCCCCATGGCAGCCACAGCTCAGCTCCTAGCCAGGGCAGGGCAGTTGGAGGCACACCAGGCATGCCAGGTGTCTGGACTGAAAGTAGACGCAGCACGATCATACCCCGGGGAGGGCATTCCTCTCTCTTCCTCTCTCAGGCAGAACTCTCATTCTATTGTAACTAAAGAATAAACTTTTTTAAAAAGTCAGGCTGGAACTCAGCTCTTAGTTCTCCACCTGCCTGTGCTTGTTCGTCTCTCTCCATTGAACTATCTACTCCTGGAGGCCAAGAATGGGGTTGTCACTATTTTTAAATTCCCTTTACATAATATATATGTTCAATAAATATTTCCAAAATCTAGATTTTCCCCCAGAAAAGGAATTTCAGTTAGGAGATACCAGATGCATCCACTGTATAGATTAAAATGTGACAGAAATTTTAGAAATTATTTTGAGCATTCATTTGATGATCTGAACATATTTCTCCTAATCTCAACTGAGTAGTTTTGTATTCAGGAAAAAATGTGGCCAGGGGACCAGCAGATAGCATAATGGCTACATTGCTGGACTCTCATGTAGTCGACCACAGTTCGAGTCCCGGACCCGGTGGCTTAAACTCATGCCAGGCACGTGTGTGTGCATGCCCAAGATCCCGAGAGGGGAATGGAGGAGGAGGGACTGCGGCGTGGCCATACCCCCGGGGGGTGATTCCTCACTTTCTGTCTCTATATGTCTTTCGGGCAAGCTTACACGCCCTATACCAAAAACCTCCCCCGACTCAAAAAAAAAAAAGTGGCCAGAGATACTAAGATAGACACATTTGAAACTGTGTATCTGATATTGTTACTGAATTACCTTTGTCTTTGTCTTTCTGACGGCCTTCGTGCATGACTGAAAACACCAATCTATTAAAAGAGTTCAAAAAAGAAGGAATGGCCTTCAGCATTACCTGAAATAAGAGAAAAAAATAAAATAAAATGCATGTAAGTGATTATCTAAGCTTTCACTTCAGAGGAGCCGCAGCTGTTCCCTGTTTTTGCCTTGGCTGTTGGGATGCTCAAAGCAGCTGAGCATGCCCCAGCTGTGGGCTCTTCTTCACCTAGACTCTCTGGCATAATTGCTCCCCCACCTTGTACTTGACTCTGTAAACCTTGTTTTAACCCATCAGGTGGGTGGGGCGTCCACACTACAGAACTGCAGGCAATGAGCCAACCCGGCCATGGAGTTTGCTGAATCTTTGGTATCAACGTTACTAGAAGAGTTTTTTTAAATTGCTAAATTTGTGGGTTTTTTTACTCTAAGTTAGTTCTACCCATGCCCTGGGTAGAAATAATAAAAGGAACAACAGTGACCAACTGAAGTGTAATTGGTACTAGGGAAAAAATACTACATAAAGCAAATTCACTTAAATGGGGGCCCCAGCTTCTAAATTATTACTAATGAAAAGGTCTGCTTGGGGCTTTATCTTGAAAAATGAGATCAGAGTGGTAAAACATGCACAGCTCATCCTCAACCATTCTTACATCAGGGTCACACCCACACGCTGTGCAACCGAGCGGCCATGGCCGTACCTGACTACTCACACAGCAATAACCAGAATTCAGTAAGAGAAGCACTCAGTTCCATGTCACCTGGTCACACTTCAAGTGCTCAGAGGTTCCCCTGCGGGACAACGCTGACATGGCACACCCCAGCACCGCTCAGGTTCCACTGCACAGTGTGGGCTAACCACAACAGACAAGCACTAAGAAGGAGTGCTGGGATGAACCAGCAGATGGCATAATGCTTATGTCACTGGACTCCCACGTAGTCAACTGTGGTTCAAGTCTCAGACCTGGTGGCTTAAAACTCATGCCAGGTGTGTGTGCCTACATGCCCAAAATCCCAAGAGGAGAAAGGAGAAAGGATGGCAGCATGGCCATCTCCCTTGAGGGGTGATTTCCTGCTTTCTGTCTCTCTGGTAAGTGCATATGCCCTATAGTGAAAATCTCTCTCTCAGTGAAAACCTCTCTCCCTCTCCCCAAAAAAAAAAAAAAAAAAAAAGGAGTGCTGGTACAATTTACTCAACAAAATTCATGATACATAATACCACATCCTTCCTGTCAAATTACTGACTTTTTGAAGGATGTTCAGAAAGAAGTCATTTTGGCAAAAGCATTCCAAGTCTTCATCAAATTCTCCAAGGACTTCTTCCCTAATCCTCTGCTATCATACTGATGAAAAAAGCAGGGCCATGGGAACCAGCAGTTAGCATAATGGCTATGTCGCTGGACTCCCATGTAGTCGACCGCGGTTCGCGTCCCGGACCCGGTGGCTTAAAACTCAGGCAGGGCGCCTGTGCGTGCGTGCCCAAGATCCTGAGAGGAGAATGGAGGAGAAGGGATTGCGGCGTGACCATCCTCCCTGGGGGGTGATTTCTCGTTTTCTGTCTCTATGTCTGTCTCTGTCTGTCTGGCGAGCACACACGCCCTATAGTGAAAATCTCTTAAAAAAAAAAAAAAAAAAGGCCAGCCTCCATGGGTTTGCACCTCTGGCTCCTTCAGTGATCTGGAATATATCTAGTTTTGTGTGTGTGTGCACCTCAGATTCCTCATCTGCAAAATGAAGAATAAAGATAATGACAGGTTGTCACGAGGATTAAATGAACTGAAACATGCAAAGTGCCCAGAGCAGCACTGGCTGCTGGCTGTGCTGCTGGGTCCTGTGGCCGTGCGGACTTCTTGCTGTACCCTTAGACATACCCAGGAGGGGTCCCGCCCAGAGGTCCCACCTCCACGAGCATACTGCGTGCACCGCCAGCACTGGGGCCACACACTGCCCCCGCCCCTGCCCCTACATGTAACAGACCAGAGTGAATGGCTAAGATTATTCATCTTTTTTTTTTTTTTTTTTAGGTTTTTGCTATAGGGCATATGTGCTGGCTAGAGAGAGAAGTGAGAAATCGCCCTCCAGGCAAATGGGCATGCTGCAATCCTTTCTCTTCCATTCTCCTCTTGAGATTTTTTGACACACCTGCAAATGCGTCTGACATGAGTTTGAAGCCACTGGGTCCAGGATCAGAACCACAGCCAGCTATGTGGGAGTGCAGAGCTTTAACCACCAAACCACCTGCTGGCCCCTTATTGGTCATTATTTATTGTAACATCAGGTCAACATCCTTGTCAATTCCCTCCATTCATTAAATGGTCTAATTGCCCTAAATGGTCTTTAACAGTCTTACAGAAGAGTCAAGTGGCCTTCTAATATCACTTTCATCAACTTCACGAATCCTGCGTCTTTTGGAAAATCCGTAATTTTAGCTTGTGACTGATTTGCACTGCACATACATTGTACAATCACATAACAACTGAGCGATCTGCAAAGAGATTTAACAGAGATGCCAACAGGACTGGCAGCTGGCGTAATGGTCATGTTGCTGGACTCCTATGTAGTCAACCGCAGTTTGAGTCCCAGACTCAGTGGCTTAAACTCACGCCGGGCACGTGTGCGTGTGTGCCCAAGATCCCAAGAGGAGAATGGAGAAGGGATTGCGGCATGGCCATCTCCTCTGGGGGGGGGCTTTCTGTCTCTCTGTCTGTCTCTTTCTGGGGAGCACACATGCCCTATAGCAAAAACCTCTCCAAAAAATAAATAAATAAATAACCCACAGAGATACCAACACAGTAAGCAGAGCCAAAGGGCCACTGCTAACCAGGGGAGGCTTCGGAGTGAGGCCCAATTTCACGAGCGTTTAGTTTACCAGAGATTATTTTTTTAAAAAACTGCACTGCCGGCAGGTCTCTCCTTAGAACATCAAACACTTACAGAGAGCTGAATGCGTGCATGTTTATATACATATTCATCGTATTTACGAGTTCCTGGATGGCAAACACTCCCACGCAGTGGAAGTACCGTAAGAGAACACTGGTCAAAGATACCATCAGTCCTTCATCTTAAGGTGTGCACTTAGTTGGGTGACCCTGGTCAGACCATTCGGTGGCACTGAGCCTCACTTGCTGCGTCAGTAAAATGGACCTGCACCTCCTTCACACGAGTGCAGCAGAGTTGAAACGGAGCAAAGATTCAGTCAAGGTCCGCTCATGGCCACCTTTCCCGAGGGGCAGTGATGCCTCACCTCAGGTCTGGTAGAAGGCAGTGAACTATAAGCCTGGGATCTGGGATGCCTCACTCCCTACACCTTGCGATTTACAGACCCAGAGAGGGATCTAAACAAGGGAGTGGCTTATTTAAACGTGTGGTCTACAAAAGAGGATAATTTCCAGGGAGTACACATACATACAAAGCGCCGCAGCCGGCCAGCCAGCTCGGCCGGGCGGTTTGCATCATCTGTATCTTTATTCTTCTGTTTGTGGATGAGGAATCTGAGGCGCGCACAATGCTGAGCCACGTGGGAAGGTCCCGGGTTCTCATCCTGAGGGCTGCCCATCTAAGCTGGGCTTGTGGACGCCTGTGATCCCAGCTGGGAGAGGCCCAGGGTAGACAGGCACGCATACCCATTTGGGGTGCCCGTCTCTGTCTGTCTGTCTGTCTGTCCCTCTCTCTCTCTCTCAAGAAAAGAAGGATCATTTTTTTTTTTTTTTTTTTAAAAAAAAGTCGAAGCCAGTAAAGATCTTAGTCAAACAATAGCCCAGGATGAAGGTCAAGCATTTTTATGCGAGAGAATCAATCCACTTTGGCCCTGGAAATTCACAAAGTTTGCTTAGCAGATCATTTTCTCTGAAGGCTTACATCACCCTGCTCCCAGAGAAGGCTGTTCAGCTCCCCCTTACCCCTCACCTTGGGGTGGCACTGCAGGATGGAGAAGAGCACGTTGTGCAGCCTCGAGAAGATGCTCCCGTACTCCGGGGGCTTCAGGTGGTCCAGAGGCACTGTCAGCAGGATGCTGAAGGCCAGGCAGACGTGGTGCGGGTTGCCGATGGCCTCCTCCCCCTGCCGCAGCAAGATGGCCAGGACGTCCAAGATAGGCCCAACCACTCGGAGAGCCACAGGCTGCTCCTGGCATGCCTCTCGGTTTTGCAGCTACAGGACAAGATGGGATAAAGAACAGAAAGCAAAGGTGACTCTCCAAAGAAAGCAGTAGTACCAAACAGAGGGGCCCAGAAAAGAGTGTCCGGGCTTCAGGATGAACTGATCTCGTCAACGGTGGTCTGAAGAGACCAAGGAGCCAGTGTCAACAGCCACGATGACCTGCTGTGGACCGGCCATTTTGGCCCACGATTTCTGCTGGCCTCATCCACCCCTAAGAGAAGCCATTCCTGGGGCTGGGCAGTGGGCAGCGGTAAGGCAGCTCTTTGTCAGGCTGGCCCACATGGGAAGGTTCTGGGTTCGTGCCCAGAAACCCCCAAGTATGCCAGGACCATGCATGCCGTGACCCAGGGCGGCTGAGGCTCAGAGTGGGTCGCGGCATGAAGACCCTGTTGGGTGACTGCTTGTCTCCGTCTCTCCTGCTCATGGAAGTAAATAACAGACTTTAAAAAAAAATAGGATAAGAAATAATTTCTTTTTTTAAAGAATTATTTAATTTTATTTATTATTATTATTTTAATTTGCTATAGGTCATACGTGCTCACCAGAGAGAGAGAAAGAGAGAGAGAGAGAAAGCAAGCCACCAGGTCTGGGACTCAACCCATGGTCGGCCATGTGGGAGTCCAGTGCCTTAACCACCATGTCACCTGCTAGCTCCAGAAGTAATTTCTCATAAAAGAGAAGGTTTGTAAATTTTTCATGAGACAATTACACGTCAAATACACACAAAAATATTCTCCTAAAAAAGATTCATTCCCCAGGTCTTGACCAAACATCGTTCAACTCCTTACAGATGAGCTCTAGTTATGATGCCCGACGACTGCTCTAGCAGATAGACTCGGGAGGCCTGACGGTCCAGTCTTACCTCCACCCCTGGAGAGCCACCTGTGACTGCCCGCCCCTCCCTGCTCCTGAGCACGTTGTGCAGCCTCGAGAAGATGCTCCCGTACTCCGGGGGCTTCAGGTGGTCCAGAGGCACTGTCAGCAGGATGCTGAAGGCCAGGCAGACGTGGTGCGGGTTGCCGATGGCCTCCTCCCCCTGCCGCAGCAAGATGGCCAGGACGTCCAAGATAGGCCCAACCACTCGGAGAGCCACAGGCTGCTCCTGGCATGCCTCTCGGTTTTGCAGCTACAGGACAAGATGGGATAAAGAACAGAAAGCAAAGGTGACTCTCCAAAGAAAGCAGTAGTACCAAACAGAGGGGCCCAGAAAAGAGTGTCCGGGCTTCAGGATGAACTGATCTCGTCAACGGTGGTCTGAAGAGACCAAGGAGCCAGTGTCAACAGCCACGATGACCTGCTGTGGACCGGCCATTTTGGCCCACGATTTCTGCTGGCCTCATCCACCCCTAAGAGAAGCCATTCCTGGGGCTGGGCAGTGGGCAGCGGTAAGGCAGCTCTTTGTCAGGCTGGCCCACATGGGAAGGTTCTGGGTTCGTGCCCAGAAACCCCCAAGTATGCCAGGACCATGCATGCCGTGACCCAGGGCGGCTGAGGCTCAGAGTGGGTCGCGGCATGAAGACCCTGTTGGGTGACTGCTTGTCTCCGTCTCTCCTGCTCATGGAAGTAAATAACAGACTTTAAAAAAAAATAGGATAAGAAATAATTTCTTTTTTTAAAGAATTATTTAATTTTATTTATTATTATTATTTTAATTTGCTATAGGTCATACGTGCTCACCAGAGAGAGAGAAAGAGAGAGAGAGAGAAAGCAAGCCACCAGGTCTGGGACTCAACCCATGGTCGGCCATGTGGGAGTCCAGTGCCTTAACCACCATGTCACCTGCTAGCTCCAGAAGTAATTTCTCATAAAAGAGAAGGTTTGTAAATTTTTCATGAGACAATTACACGTCAAATACACACAAAAATATTCTCCTAAAAAAGATTCATTCCCCAGGTCTTGACCAAACATCGTTCAACTCCTTACAGATGAGCTCTAGTTATGATGCCCGACGACTGCTCTAGCAGATAGACTCGGGAGGCCTGACGGTCCAGTCTTACCTCCACCCCTGGAGAGCCACCTGTGACTGCCCGCCCGTCTCTGCTCTCCTGGTGAGGCCGTTATGGTCCGGCCTTCCGTCTGCTCGGCTCCCTGTCCGGGATTCCGCCCATGCAGACTTCTCACCATGCCCTTCAGATACTCAGGGGGTTCTGCCTGGTGTTCCTGTCAATGCTAGTCTGCCACGCACATCACCGAGACAGCGCCGTGGGTCCCCTCCCCACTCAGTCATGTGCTTCTCCTGACACCCCTCACTCACGCTGGGTGACAATGACACACCTCACCCACTACTCTGGGTCCTTGGGAAAATGACAAGGCAGCAAAACTGCGAACAGGAGCAAATAGTGAGGGTGCGTCGACACGCTAGGCCCTGCTTCATCGGCCCAGGGATGTGCCGACCCAGGGCAGTTCTCCAGGGGGCCAAGTTCGAATCTGGGCTGAGGAGGAAGGTGAAACGAATATTGCTCCCTGCACCCAAGTGTAAGAGCACTCAGGTCACTCAGGTCAGGTTCATGGGGACATGGAGACAGTTCTAGTCAAAACCAGATTTCTGTTTTAGTGAAAGGAAAAGTGAAGGGACCACCAGATTAAAAATGAACATCGGGTTGGATGATAACAATAACCTCAGAAGAAACTAGAAAACAATAACCTGCTCACTGCAACACCAGTCTCATTCTGCAAATTCTCTATCCCCTGCCCCCAGGGGAACTGCGGGTACACCACCTGCACCCCTCACCTAGTACACGAATGCAGGAAACTGGCTGAACATCCTGTGGGGACGAGAAAGCCCCCGAGTCCAGGGGAACTGCGGGTACACCCCCTGCACCCCTCACCTATTACACGAATGCAGGAAACTGGGGGCACATCCTGTGGGGGCGAGAAAGCCCCAGAGTCCATCTTACGGCTGACGGCACAGACCTTCCGGAAACCCGGCCTCGTCACTCCATCCCATCATTGCCCATCCAGTGCCCACTGAAGCTCCTAAACGCCCCTGTGCACCGCCTCTGCCCACCGTCCCCAGTGCTGGCACCGTGTCGGGGAGAACAGACTCAGCAGCCCCGACACACTCTGCACTCACCCGGGGCAGCGGAGCCCCAAGGCGTGACTTCTGTCTCCACAGCAGGAGGTGCTGTGCTGGAAGGCGCCCCTCTGGGGTACTCACCGCGAGGGCTGTGATGATCTGGGGGCACGCGCGCCACAGCAAGCTCGCCTTCTCTGCGCTGAGTGGGCAGTTCAGGAGCAGCTTGAGCAGGGCGACAGCAGACAAGGTGGCCTGAGGCGAAACGGAAGGACCGAGTTACAGAAATGGCCTAGGAGCACTCCCCCCGGGCAGGGCTGCTCGTCGGTGCCAAGATGATGCAGAACCCTTGAGAAGCCTGGTGCTGGGCAGCAGGTGGCATGGTGGTTAAGGCACTAGACTCCCACAAAGCCAATTGTGGTTTGAGTCCTAGGCCTAGGAGCTTGCTTTCTCACTCTATCTCTGTGAGTGCAAATTAAAAATATAGTAATAACGATCACTAAAATTAAATAAGTAATTCCTTTTGAAAATGAAAATAAAAAGAAGCCTGGTGACAAGAGACAGCCTGTCGAGGACCGACCCAAGAGTGAAGAAACAAAACAGGGAGGAGAACAGGGGGCAAGCAGAGCCGTGGCCCATCGGAAATCCGTGGAGTCCCCTCAGAGCACACCTGCATGTGGCCAAACAGCACCAGACACAAGGCCAGCCCTGGTCACGGAGACTCCGCCTGTCAGGAAACTGTCCTAAGAGACGACCCTGGCTGCAGGTTAACGGGGCAAGCCCCGGGCATGCTTATGCTGACAGAGGGGCTGGAAGGGAGTGGGAAAAGCCAAACTGCTGGACGAGGGCCTGTGATCCCACAGCCCCGTGTAAGACCGCGGCCCCCGAGCTGAGCGGCCCCTGCCCAGGGTCTGGCAGGGTAAGCTCCTGTTCGCATGCTCAGTTCCAGGGAGGATGGCGCATCTCAGACACACCCTCCTGACAGAGCCGCCACTGCCTTGGGCTGCCATACAGGAGGAGGCTGCCCACCTGCAGGTCTGCCTTCCACGCATTCCTGACATCCAGTCCCTGGAGGATGCTCTGCATCACCACCCTGAAGTCCTCTGTCGACCCGACCTCCAACATCTGGGTGAACAAGGCTCCCAGATGAGGCTCAAGATCCTGAGTTACCTGGGTGGGAATCTGCGGATCTGTATGGAAAAGAACCCAAAATTGTGGAGGTGAGACAGATAATGAGCAGGTGAAATAAACCAGACCAGCCAGAGCAAGACCACGAGCAGCCACAGAGCCGTTAAAACCGGTTTCCGGTGGCACTGCGGCGGCACGGCAGCAGCTCAAGGCTCTGCGGTGCCGGAGGCCTCGTGGGGATTGGTTTTGGCTCCCAGGTCTCCCTGTAATGCCACAAGCTTGTCCCACGGCTCTGGGGGGCTGAAAGGCTGGGGGATCCCAGAGTGAGGTCCTGCTGAGGCTGCCCCCCTATCCCCCCCGGCACATGGTTCATAAGAAAGCCCAGTTAGGGTGCTCGAGGCCCTGATCACCTGACCCGCTGCCGTCTCTGGCCAGTCAGCCCCAGCAGACCACTCCCCATTGCCAGAGCTCTTCCTGCACCCCGGTCTATTACTCTCTGCAGAGACCCCAACTTTTTTGGCACCAGGGGCCAGATTAATGGAAGATAATTTTTCCATGAGACCGGGGTAAGGGTGGTTTGGGGATGACTGGACCACTGAAACTGTGCACTTGTTTCTGTTATCCTCGCACCGTAACATACAAGCAAACTGCACGCCGTGCTGCGGACTCGGCGGGAGCCCAGACTTGTGCTCCTACGACTAGAAGGAGCTGATGGCTCCTATGACAACCTCATGCCATCCTGATCAGACAGGGGCGGAGCCCAGGCAGGAAGCGGGCGATGGGGAGTGGCTGTGAAGTACGATGAAGCTTCGCTCACCCTCACATTCCCTGAGTGTGGCCCAGCTCCTGGGCTGGAGACTCCTGCCTCAGAGCCACGGGGCCAGGGACCAGAGGCCTTGACAGAGGATGACCTTAGGTCGAGTTTCCAACAACCTGGAAGAGCCTGGACTCATGACCTCATCAGTCAAAGGGGCAGGCAGCACCGACACTGATCTGGCAGGAGTGAAAAGGACACAGAGCCCGGGTCAGTGTGCCTTTGCAGGGAGCCCCCGGCTAGCCTTCAAGGGCTACTCCCAACTGGGCACAGGCCCAGCGCTCTGGTTCCCTTCACAGCACCTTGCGGTCCCCTGCCCATGGGCCTGTGAACGTCTGCTGGACCAGACGGGCCCCTCACTCACGCCAGAGTGGAGCAGCGCCACATGCATGGGGACTTCTAGGGCACTGGTGTCTGTACCCGGATTGAGGCAGCCTGTCCTCCTGCTAGAAACCCTTTATAACAACTGTTTTCTGAGCTGATACCCACTTGGGCCACCCTGTAGGGCACAGGGAAGGGCTCTCTGCAGGCTCACCTACATAGCTACCTTCCATAGCTACCTTCTCCTCCCCGGTATCTCTTCCAGACCTAGCTCGAGGCCACAGCGCCTCAGCCCAGCAGCACCCCAGGGCACAAGCATGTGCCTCAAGTTTCCAGCCCCACAGTCCGGCCCACTACCCACCGTGCCAGATTTCCCATCATGCTAGTGTCAATTCATGCACTGAAGACCTGATACAGGAGAGCCTACTTATAAGATGAAATGATCCGTGTGAATCACCTAGAACTAGGACAAGTTAAAAGCTAAAACACTTACCTGCAAGGACTTTTCTCATAGAATGAAACAAGGAGGTAAAAACGGAGTCCTTCTTGGGATGGAGTTCTGGAGTTAAAAAGAACAGCTCTAAAAACCGCACGGCCGCCTGGAAAGACGACACGTCTCCTGCGAGAGCTGGCAGCTCCGACAGCAACTGGGAGTACACGTCCTGGTAGAGGACAGCGTGGGACAGCGGCGTGGTGCCCGGGACCTGGGCCACCTCGGCCCCTCCGCCCCCATGGCGCTGGCTCAGGTCAGCCTGTAAGAGTGTGCTGACGCTGGAGATGAGGGCCGTGGGCAGGCGCCCGGGGGCCGAGCAGAGTCGCAGCACGGCCCCCGTCTGCAGCACAGCCTGCTGCAGCAGTTCAGGCAGCACGGACCGGGCCTCCTGCAGCGGCCTCCGCTCCTGCACGAAAGGCCCCAGGACTTGGCACAACTTGGTTAAGGACACCAGGAGGAGCTGCTTGGCGAGAGAGTTCGAACTTTCCGACTGCATGCCGGGAGCTGCCTCCACATCTGCTTTGCACCTTGAGAGGAATGTGATGATTTTTCCAAAATTGAGCACCAAGCTCAGTTTTATGTTGATGAGCATCTGCAGGTGCTGCTCAAAGAACATCCCTGTCACTTGGAGGAATTCCAGCCAGGAAGGGTCGTCTGTCTCCACCGAGAATCTCCTACTGACTTTGAACAAGGAGGTCAGTACGATCTCGAACACATCACTAGCATACATGATCCTGAACACTGAGCGGGCACTTCTTCCCCTTTGCAGGCAGCCGAGAAGCCGGTAGCAGGTCATCCAGAACCTGAGCGCCATGGAGGAGGAGCAAGAACGCCCCAGCCTGGTGACAGCCATGGACAGCAGCAGAAGGAAATAGAGCACATGGCAGGGCGGCGAGAGGCTGTCCAGCTGGAGAGCAGAGACAACTTCCAAGAGCCCCAGGATGTTCTGCACTTCCTCTTCCTCCAAACAGATGGGGAAGTCGCTCTGGACCATGGACAGTAAGGTCTGTGCAATTTCTCCTCTTGGCTCTGCACCTTCAGGTCCAGATCTGGCAAATCTGTTTTCCCAGTGAGACATGATGGTGTAGTCCTTTTCAAAAAGCCACGGCAGCTGCTGACTGAGAAGGCTCAGGTCAGTCTGGGTGCCAGAACACAAAATGCTTGAGCATTCTGCAGCGACGCACGCTAGGAAAGCAGAATGAAGGGGCTGCATCTCTGGGAAGAGTGCGCTGTGGAGGATGGCCGTGGAGATCTTGCCCAATGAGACATGAGGCTCTTCCTCTGCCAGGCCTTCCTGGACTTGGCTCACTGGTAAAGTTCTCAGCAGGACTCTGGCCAAGTTCCTCACATCATCTGGACAAAGGTATGATATTAAAACTGTGAGATTTGACACAACCAAGTGCCAGTGTGCGACAGGGTACGTGAGTGCATTCACAGTCCCGACCTGGCCATCCCAGGATGCTACTGTCCTTCGACACAGACTTTCTCTGCCAGAACCAAGGATGTAGGCAGCGTCGGCCCTCAGAGTTTGGAGGGCTGCTTCGGACCGGAAACCAGCATGCATTAAAGTGCTTTTCATTCTCTGCAGGTAGAGCTGCTCTAAGCAGTACCTGCCGAGAGAGTCACATTGAGCCGTCAGCTCCTCTACCTTCCTCCAGTGCTGTGTTCCTACACCTGGAAGCAGCGATGGGAGTGGGGAGAGCTCCAGGGCAGCACCCTCCGGGGACCCGGCCACCGAGCAGTACTGGCTGCAGTTCAGACTGAGCATGGCGTCCACCTGGGCCCAGGTGCAGGCGAGTAGCAGTGCAGAGTCGCTCACCTTCTGCAGCCATGGCTCAGGTTTGGGGCCCGGCGGGTCCAGAAGGGACAGCAGGGGCCTCACAAGCTCAGCCAGCATCCTCTCCATCATGCGCTGTGTCCGCCTGATGACAGGCAGGGGCGTGCTGCTGTCAAGGCTCCGCATGTTGGACATGACACCGTGCAGCAGCGAGCTCAGTGACAGCGACTTCAGGGCCATGTCCGTGTCACTCTCCACGGAGGGCAAGACGAGGGCCTGGAACTTCTCCAACACGAGGGACCACGTGTCCAAGACCTGACTGAGGGGCAGCTCCAGGAGGCACGCACGGAGCACCGCGGAGGGGCCCGAGGCCAGCACGGGCTGCCTCAGCGCCTCGGCAGCTGGGCGGCAGAGCACCTCCAACACCTCCTCGAACAACTGTGGCACTTGTCGGAGCTTGGCGTAGGTCTGGAACAGTGTGTGAATAAGTGCCTCCTGGGCTTTTTTGGTTCGAAACTCTGTTACTTCTGCATCAATCCAGGCTGAAGACAGCAGGTCATCCAGGTCTGGCTCCAAAATCAAATGGTTCAGAGACATCAAAATCTTGAGGCAGCGGAACCAGGCTGGCACGGCGGCTTGCGCATGGTTGACCAGCAGCTCGGCCACGCGGCGGTAGAAGCGGAACTGAACCTCGCCGTGCCGCAGCCTGTCAGTGGCAATGTTGTAGATGCTGTTGTCGGCCACCGAGCTGAGCAGCTGCTCCACAGCCAACAGCTCTGCGGTCCATTCTGGCGTGGTCAGGGCTCTGACCTGCCCCTGCTGCAGCTGTGAAACCCGCAGGCAACCAAACAGCTTGGGGAGAACCTGGAAGCAGAGAAGCTGGTTCCCCTCCTTGAAATAAGAATCAAGAAAGAGCTTATACAGCAAGGCAATGGAGCCGGCCACCACTGGGACGAGAATGGCTGCTTCACAGTAGCCGGCATCAACCAGTCTGGTCACCACGGTGTCCAAGGGGGCCAGAAGACCCTTCACAGCTTCTGTCTTCGTGTGGCCTTGCTGCTGGTCCAAGAGCTCTTCTTTGTAGGATGAGAGCAGCTCAGCCTGGAAAACGCCACCTCGAAGCACAGCCTCAATCTGACTCCTGACCTCCCTGCTCAGACCTTGCCGCAGCTGGCCCTGGCCAGCCTGTGTCCACGTGCCCACAGAGAGTAAGTGCCTTAGCACCAGGCAGGGCTGAAGCAGGTGCTCGGTCACATCCATGAAGGCCCGCCTCGGGTTGCCACGCTGCTGCTGCAGGGAGCGGTACTGGCCAAGGGCCAGGTGCAGGACCTCGAACAACGGGGCGACCATGGCTCCGTGCGGCTGCCTGCAGGCCACCCAACAAAGCTGGCTCAGCAGGGCCACCAGCAGCTCCTGCTTGGCCGTGTAGATGACAGCAAGGGCCGGTGTGGAGAGGATGCCCTGGCAGCAACTCAGGATGGCACAGGCGTTTCTCCGAGATTCCAAATGAGAGAGTTCGGCTATCCTCTCATTTATGATCTGAACATTAAGAGAGGAAACTCATTACTGACCCTAAACCCATATGTACACCAAAAAATTACCAAAGAATCAATAAACTTACTCCTCCTCCTCACCCGGACAAGAAAGAAAAGCCCGGTCACTTCTAACAAAATTGACATTTGCTTATGAGTGCAACAGAGGGCAGGATTCCTGTTCTAATCCCTCACAATCCACTCCCACCTGTAAGCCTGGAACAGCATCAGTACCTTTGTAAATTTGCTGCCCACCCCCCACCAAGGAGCTGGATTTTGAAAGCTTGAACACCAAAGATCACTTCTTAGATCTCAAACCTGTGATTCTACGCATTACCAAACAAACAGACAGAACACTTGGGTCCAGAGCCTGTGGTCCGAAATACTTGTTCATAGTCAATTAAGCATTTTCTATTAAAAAAAAACAAACAACCACAAACACAAAGCAAAAAGCAGCCTTAAGAAAAGCAAGGGAGGGCCAGCACCATAGCACAGCAGTTTAGTACTGCGCACAGGAAGCTGGATCCCATGTGACCTTGGTTTGAATCTTTGCCCCAGAGGCTTGTAAAACATTCCTGGTGCGTGGGTACGCGCCAAATCCACCCGGGTTGGACATGTGAGGAAAGGAGACTGTGGCATGACCACACCCATTAGTGAGTACTTTCTTCTCTCCCTCTCTCTGACAATAGGAAGGAATGGAAGAAAGAACAGGGGCCAGCAGGTGGCACGGTAGTTAAGGGCGTGGACTCTCACATGGCTGACTGCGGTTCAAGTGCCCGACCTGGCAGCTTGCCTTCTCACTTTCTCTCTCTCTCTCTCTCTCTCTCTGGTCAAATTTTTAAAAAAAAGGCAGGAAGGACAGTCAGCTGGGTGGCAGAAGTAATACACTGATCAGCAAAACTGGATCTATGGGAAGATCACGGGTTGAGTGCCCCAGCCGACCTGCACACGCCGGTACAGCACACCCAGGTCCTGGCTGGCTGAGAGGGGTGGAGAAAGACCACAGCAGACCCTGTTGAGAGTGTTCGTCTTTCTCTCACCGCCCCACCAGCATTTCCCTACCCCATCTTTCACTGTCCATGAAAGAAATAAAACAGAGGAAGAGGGAATGTGGCCAGTCAGTGGTTGTCATCCGTACTCACTGTCCACCACTCTCAAAATTCCCAACTTCACAAACACCAGCGATTACGAGAGCCGGGCAGAGTCACAGGCTGTGTTCATGGATGGGCTAAGTGGCTTCCTCCCAATCTGGTGGCATGTAAAAGTCAACTGTACCCTGGGTACTCAGTGATTGGTAGCTCAGAGAGATCAATTTTATTATTTCCACTCAACTAAGCCTGGGCCACAGACCTTTGGCGTCACTCTGGAAATGCTGCAGCAAAAATGTCAGTCTTCAAATGTCAAGGCACCAATACAGTGCTCTCCGATTTTTTTTTTTAATTGTGAGAAGGCACATGCACTCACCAGAGAGACAGAGGTAAGCAAAGAGATGAAGAGACAGAGAGACACCCCCATAGGGCATGGTCACGCTGCAATCCTTTTTATTCCATTTCTCCATTGCTACAAGATTTAGAACACACGTGCAAATGCACCCTTCACATTTTTCAAGCAGCCAGGACCAGGATTTGAACTGCAACTGCTCACATGGTATACAGCTCCCTCTGCACAGCACTTAACTGCTACACCATGGGGCTGGCCCAATCTTTTTTCTTTTTTCTTTTTTGGAGAGGTTTTCGCTATAGGGCATGTATGCTGGCCAGAAAGACAGAGACAGAGAGACAGAAAGCGAGAAATCACCTCCCAGGGGGGATGGTCATGCCACAATCCCTTCTCCTCCATTCTCCTCTCGGGATCTTGGGCACACACGCACATGTGCCCAGCGTGAGTTTAAGCCACCAGATCCAGGACTCGAACTGCAGTCAACTACATGGGAGTCCAGTGACATAGCCATTACACTAACTGCTGGTCTTATCCCAATCTTCAATTTCTTGATTATATAATTTATCAATAAAAACTTTTTGTTTTAATAGAGAGATTTGTGCGATAGGGCACACGTGCTTGCTGGAGAGACAGAGAGACAGAAAGGAAGAAATCACCCCTCAGGGAAGATGGCTATGTTGTAATCCATTCTCCTCTCAGGATCTTGGGCAAGCACCCACACACGACTAGTGTGAGTTTAAGCCACCGCGTCTGGGACTCGAACTGCAGTCAACTACATGGGAGTTCAGTGACATAGCCATTACGCTAACTGCTGGTCCCTGGTATGAGTTTTAAGCCACCAGATTTAGAACTTGAACTGCGGTCAACTATGTGGAAGTCCAGCAACATAATCGTTGTGCTATCGGCTGGTCCCTCAATAAAACATTTGCACATGGGCACCTAATTGGTATAGTTTATCAATAAATTGGATACACATACTGCAGTATTACTATTTTATATCATTACAGATCACATATAAAATTAAAGATTAATGTATGTTTTTTAAAACAGAGGTTTTCTTCCCCTACTCCAAAGGGCCACTCAGAGTACCGCACCGCAGTGACCATCAGCCTAGTACAGTATCCTTCCTTACTCCCAAGGGACAGGCTCCAAGACCCACTGTGGACACCCGAAACCATGGATTGAACCAAAACTTCTGTATACTGTGCTTTTCCAGATACCTACCTATGACGAAACTGAATTTATACATTAGGCACAGCACGAGGTTAATGATAACTAATAATAAAATAGAGCAACCGTGATGACATTCTATAATGAAAGTTAGTGACGTGATCCCTCTCTCAAAATACCTCATTGAACTATACTCACCTATTTTGGTCTTACCGTATTGGACTTGCCTATTTTGAACTGTGGTTGACCACAGGTAACTGAACCACAGAAAGTGAGACTGGGATAGGGGAGAGCTACTTCTTAAACGGATGGTTCAGAAACTGACTTCGGGGGCCACTACAGCCTGCGAAACATGGGGAGCTCGACCACTTCATTCTTCTGTTACCAGTCTCTACCAGTTTTCTCTCGCAGCCTGCATACTCATGTGGGTGACACAGTATGGTGGTTTGACACCGCACTTTGCAATCAGATAGATTTAAGTTCAAGTCCCGGGGATCAGCAGTTAGCGTAATGGCTATGTTGCTGGATTCCCATGTAGTAGACCACAGTTCACGTCTCGGACCTGGTGGCTTAAAACTCACGCCGGGCGCATATGTGTGTGTGCCCCAAGATCCCTAGAGGAGAATAGAGGAGAAGGATTGCGGCGTGGCCATCCCCCCCTGGGGGGTGCTTTCTCGCTTTCTGTCTCTCTGTCTCTGTCTGTCTGTCTGGCGAGCGCACTCGCCCTATAGCAAAAACCTCTTAAAACAAAGCAAAACAAAACAAAACAAAAAAAAAATTCAAGTCCCAGCTCTGCTACTTACTAGTCATGTGACTTTAGTAAGCATGCACTAAGGGCTCCCCAGTAGTGGTTTTATTTTAACTAGCTACCCAGGTGGTATTTCAAAATACTCAGTTTTGACAATGAAGGTCATACTTCCGAGACTTCAAAATTACTTTCAGCCAAAAGTCTTTGAGTAATTCCTATGCAGGTTTCAGCCTCTGATCTCTCTATGGGCCAAGACAAAGATGGTGGGAAAAGGTAGCAAAATGTACTAGCTACCTTTTCCAATTAACAAAGCAGTCAACAACCTGTTCATAAAATACTTCTAACCTTTTCTTAAGCATGACACAATGGAAAGTCTTATCAGAATACAGATCATACAATTCTATACAATACAGATTTACAATTGTTACTGTAGACAGTAAACATCAGTTATTACAACTCCACCCCTACCTCCCCTTCCCTGAATCTTCCCATCATCGGCCCTAACATGAGCAGGCATCCAGCATGAACACGAAATCTGCAGAGATGCACAAAACCACACAGGGCAGCAGAGGGGCCGTTCGTTACCTTTGCTAGGGAAATCTGAAGGGTAACCGTCTTGCCACTCTGGAGGAGGTTCTGCAATTTCCTGCTGTGGAGAATGTTATCTATATAGATCCAAAGCCTTTCAACAACGTCTTCCGTCAGCTCAAGTCTTTTCTTATAAAATGCAACCAGTGACTGTCTTGCCCAGTCAAGTAATACCTGAATGTGGAGAAAACGTACTCTGGAGGTAAATGAAGCTTTTCTTTTCTTTTTTTTTTTTTTGCCAACTTAGAAATTGAACATTATAGGACATTTCAGGAGAAACCAAATGCAACTTAAAAAAAAAAAAAAAGGGAAGAAGAAAAACCTCCTTTAAACTAACCTTTGGTGGGGTCAGCAAATGGCATAACGGTTATGTGGCTGGGCTCCCACATGGCCGACCTGGTTCCACGTCCCAGACCGGTGGCTTGAAATCACACCAGGCACATGTGCATGCTGCTCAAGACGTCAGGAGAATGGAGAAGGGACTGCCATGTGGCCAATCCCCCTAACAGGTGGATTTCTCACTCTTCCTCGCACTGTCTCTGTCTATCTCGCCACAACACCCTGCAAGCCCAGGCGTCCTAAAGCAAAAACTTCTTAAAAAATAAATTAATGGGACCAGCAGTTAGCATAATGGCTATGTCGCTGGACTCCCACATAGTCGACCGCGGTTCGCGTCCCAGACCCAGTGGCTTAAAACTCACGCCGGGCGCATGTGCGTGCGTGCCCAAGATCCCGTGAGGGATTGTGGCGTGGCCATACCCCCTGGGGGGGTGATTTCTCATTTTCTGTCTCTATGTCTCTCTCTGTCTTTGTGGCGAGCGCACACGCCCTATAGCAAAAACCTCTCCAAAAAACAAACAAAAATAATTAATTAATTAATTTTAAAAACTTCCTTCTGGTAATATTATTATATATATAAATGTGTTAGATTATAAAATGTTAATTATTAGAGAATAAAAAAGGAAAAGGATAAATCTGTTCTTCATCTGGGGCAAACAAAATGCTTTAGGTGAGACTGTAAAATATCTTGTCACTTTCCCTAAACACACCAACTGTAAGAGTTAAAAGCACAGCAACTGTCCAGAACCACTACAGAATGAATCACACACATAAGCAAAAAAGGCAACTAAGATTCAAAAGACTAGGCTTTGTGCCCTGGCTTTCCATGTTGCCTGCTGCTTAATAACTCATTCAGGAGACAGTGAGCTGATATAAAATAACACACAAGTAGTGTACTGAAAAGGAGGGCTATGCATACGTTAGTTTCCATTATATTGTGACATGTATATTTATTATTTTTTTTAGAGATTTTTGCTACAGGGTAAGTGCACTCTCCAGAGAGACAGAGAGAAAGCGAGAAATCACCCCCGGGGGGATGGCCACACTGCAATCCCTTCTCTTCCATTCTCCTCTCTGGATTTTTGGCATGCACGCGCACACGGCAGGCGGGAGTTTCAAGCCATTTGGTCCAGGACTCAAACTGTGATCAGCCACGTGGGAGTCAGGCACCTTAACCACTATGCCATCTGCTGGTTCTGTGACACGTCTCTTTATTCATAAGACGTTGAAGAATGGAGGGCCGGCAGGTGGCACGGTGGTTAAGGGTACTGGGCTCCCACACGGTCAACCGTGGTTCAAGTCCTGGACCTGGCATCTAGCTTTCTTACCCTCCCCTCCTCACCTCTCTCTCTCTATCTTACTCCATTCCTCTCTGGTCAAATTTAAGTAAATAAATAAGGATAAATAAAATAATTAAAAAACAAAAACGTTGAAGCATGAGAGCAATGCCTTGGCTCATAGCACGACTGTCAATATAGTGACAAAAGCCAGAAAGACAAAAGCGCTCAGGATCAGGACTGCCAGGCCTGGATCCAGTTGCCTATCTGGGCCTCCCTGTCCTCTCACCAGTGCAGCGCCTGCCAGGTCAAGCTGCCTCGACTCTCCAGTGCAGCCAAGTGTAGACTCCCAGGTGTGAGAGCTGCTCTACGCACCGTACCTCCCCACCACTTTCACACCTGCCGTTCATCTTTTGTCCTTTGCTGTGTTCTTTAATGCCAACAAGAGGAGGAACATCAATCCAATTTCATGGTGCAGATCACAGAAACTACTTATTTAGCTAAATAAGCTGGAGAAATAAAACATGACCAAAAACAGTGTTTTTCTTGATACCTAGCCTGTTTCTAAAATGGCTTAATATAAATGCAACCACTTCTTTACTCTCTAACCTTAAATTGATCAAACTCGGAAGGTTCTTAACAAAGCATCAGAAGCAATTGCCTATGGACTGTCACTAGGGATGTGTAAACAAACAGAGCTTAGAACGGATCTCTGTAACTCTACTCCCAATGTGTTCACTAATGCATATGCTTAATTCTGACATAATGTTCCCCCCAAAAGAAATGCTAAATGAGGGTTTGTAACAGAAACTTTTATCAACAAAATATCTGACTCATCACTTTTTACAATGAAGTTATTTGTTTTTCTACACAAATGTTTAGTTTGTATATAGTATATAGTTTACACAAGTGATCAATATTTGACTATGAAAATATGTTCCACCTTAAACTTACTTGCTCTTTATTTGGGAGAAAGCACTGGTGGGAAATCCAGGCGAAGTGAGCTAGTTTTAGTTTATCTTCCCAGGAGGTTGTCTTGCTCTTAAGTTTAAGGGAAATGCCAGAATAAATAGCAGCCATTGCTGCGCTTTATCTACAATGAAAAACAACAGGGGAAAACTGTAATGGAGTCAAACTGAATAGGCACCAGAACATGACAGTGGGTATCTCATTGTCTACCTAATACACATTCTTTTTCATTAAAAAAAAAAGAGAGAGAGAATTAAAACACATCACAAAATTATCGGGGAAGTTTATACCTAAGATGCTTGACCCTGTGAATTTTCTAGAGGAAATTCAGACAGAAGCAGGCAGACCACGGATCACACACACAGAGAAGACGGATCACAAGTACGCCTGCTGTGCGCGAACATCACATCCATGAAGAGAGGGTGCAGGAATTCGGCCAGGCAGAACTCCAAGTGTTCCGGTAACTGGGGGAACAGCTTGGTTTTAGAAGGAAAGAGGAAAGTTTCTGAACGTACTTTTCAAAACATACTACATAGGATGTATAATATATAGTACGCTATATATTAGGATTGGTTCCCTTAAGTAATTCAAAGAACAATACTTGGAGAATGTAGTATTCCTCCAACTGAAAAAGAAATATATTAATCCAGTCCCAAAAGGAATACTGTCATATCAGTTGCAACAGCAACTTCCTACTATAACTTTCTATTTTACTCATTCACATTTACACACAACTCCCAAAGACTCTAAAAAGTTATTTACACAATGAAAAGACTGTGAAAATAGAATACAATAAAAACATAAGTAATGGCAAGAGGAAGCAAACACAGCAACCACAGTTAATAGAAAACTAGGTAAACTTGGATTTGAGTTTCCTGAAAGTTATAGTAAGGGAAAACCTACTAGGTTAAATCGTTTTCATTATATAAAAGTGAGTCGGTTCCTTGAGAAAGAAGTATTTTCATGATACTTATACTGAAACAAAATTATCATAAATAAGAACAAAGTAGAATAATACAAATGGGGGGGTGATCACAGTCCCACCTATGAATACATTCCGTCATACCAAAAGTATTTGCTACTCAGGGCTAGTTGGCCTGCATTTTTCCTAAACCCTAAAGACTCACTTTCAGAATCCATTCTCGGCCAGTAACTACATAACGAATGAGCGGACACTGGATAAATCGTCCCTCAGCGTGTTACACGAACAGACAAGTGCTGTCAGCTGTCTATTTTGTCAAAACGCTCAGTACCGAGTTAATGACTGTTTAACGCTAAGTTCAATACGACACGAGGCCACCGTGACGGCTACAAAGTGCCTACAAGTTCGCTCAACTAGCTACAAAGACGCCCCGATAGCTCCACCAGCTGCACTCCCTGGCCTCCAGCTCCTGGCCCGCCG